TGCCCGCCTCGTGCCCGCTCCGTGCGCCGGCTGGGCGTTCCGGGGTCTTGCCCGCTTCCCGCCCGTGACTAGATTCGCGGGCTGGCGCGCTGCTATGTGCGCACACACTGCAGCCTGCATCACGTGGATCGCACCGAACAACTGGCGCCGCGTCATGCGCGGCCGGGAGGCGTCATCTCCCTTCTCCGCCTCCTCCCCGGGGCGCCTCCACGCTCCAGAAAATGCCGTGGCACCCGATCACGTTCGGGTGCAGCTGCACCTCGGCACGCCGCGCCCGGCCGCCTCCCCGCCGGCCCGCCCCGAGCTACGGCTTGGAGCCATCGGGCGCCGAGTTTCCCTCGAGGAGGAGGAGGGAGGGAGGCATAAGGGCATGATGACTCGTCACTGGCACTGCACCTGCGTGCCGCTGAAGCTAGCACTAGTGACAGCTGGAACCCTGACACTCAGTGCCAAGATGGAGACAGAATAGGTACCTGAGACTTGTGGGCCGCGCCCACTTCGGCGCCCCTTGGACAAGCCGAGGAAGAGGCGCTGGGCCCAAGCAGAGGAAGGAAATGAAGAGCTTCGAGCAAGGATACTATATATCAACTAGTTACAGTAACCAGCAAGAAGCAGAACTGTAACACTGGAAACTACAAGCTACAACTGGTATATATATGTATGTATATAAATATATGCATATATGTATATATGTATATGCATATATGTATATATGTACTTGCATATATATATATATATACACATGTAGACATATACATATACATGTATGGAACCAACAAAAGCCAAAGTCCAGTAGAGCCAGTCGCCTATCCTGCCCGAGGGCACGCGTCAGTGCACGAATGCTCTTGGACAGCTGTTGGGCTTAGAGCTCGAGCAGAGGAGTAAAAAGAGTAAGATGAGGGAACAAACATTTTAGAGGAGCCACAGGCATTAGACAAACATGGATAGGATGGGGACTAAAAAAAACGACTCTGTATCAGGCTGCCTCCTCCTCCTGCCATGGCGTGCATGCGCGCCCTGGCGCTGGTCGAGTATGAGCGGGCCCGCTGTCGGGAGGGCAACCCCGCAGAGACTCGATGGGCAGGGACAGGCCGTCTGGCAATGGGCGGCAAGCTGGGGCGCGTGGTAAATACCACAAATGTTCTCGATGGTGTACGCCTTAGTGCCGCTCCAGCGGCAGATGAGCGCATGCAGGTCCCCCAAAAGACTGGGCTCACTGGCAGAACATAAAATAGCAAGGCTGCCATGCTGCAACGTGGCTCGCGAACGGGTGGTATGTTGCCCCAGATGTGGACGGCGTGAGCCGTGGTACAATCCGCTTCTCTGCACAGTGTCAAAGTGCCGAATAGCATGCGTGGCGAAGGGCGGCGGAAATTCAAATCATCTGTGAACAGAACGCTAAATTTCGAGATGCCTGTCGGGCGGGCTGACTCCGCCGCTGCCCGCATGGTCACCTGAGGACGGGGATGGGGCCTCCCTGGTTATTGCTGACGTCCTATGCCCTCCCCCGTTGACACGCCGCTCTCCTTGCCCCCCCCCCGGGTCCCCTCCTCCTCCTCCCTTCCACTCCCAGCCGCCACCATCCCCTCGTATTCCCTCCCATCCCATCGGCGATCGCCCACTGCCTACCATTCGTTAAGATAGATCGCGTCTCTTGGTACCCTCCTTGCCCCTCTGTCGACGACCCATTATGTTTCTCGCACTTCCTCTTAGAGGACGGCGAGGGAGGGAATATCCATTCCAAAGGCGCTCCATGCTTCTCCGCATCCTTGCAATGCAGGCTGCAGCCTGTGTCCCGATAGAGTGCAGGAGGAGTGGCAATAGCAACAGCGGCGTTAGAAGCAGTGCGACGAGAAGTGAGAAGGGGAAGTTCATATCGTGCAGATGCATGGGAGGACGAACAATGAGGTAGCGAGAAAACATACGAAACGCAACTCGCAACCTGTAACAATGTCGCCAATTCTCGCTCGATCGCGTCCAGCTCCATCATCGAATTCATCTTCTTCACCGCCACCACCTCACCATAATAATTTCTACCGCGCCCCCCCCCCGCGGCAAGAGAGAGGGGGGCAGGATGCGGAGGAAGAGGAGGTAGAGAAGAAGGACGATAATGAGTAACGACAACCGCGGGAATATATAAACAAGAAATGATGAGAGAGATCCGCCAACGTACTGCGAGGTACTGAGCGAAGAGTCCTCAGGCCCCTTCGAGTCCCCGATGTGTTTGTCTTGGAATGCTCTTGTTTAAGGGTCGGGGGCCTAGACCCAGGAGTTCTGGGCGCTCTTGGGCGCGTTCGGGGGCGCCCTGCGTGAATCTTCCAGGGAGGTAGCGACATCATTGAGCAACCTGGGTTTGTCAACGTTTTGCTACGCTGAAGGAGGTCACGAACGGGCCCTGGGAGCCCTCGAGTGCCAGGATGGCCCCCGAGACCACCAAGAGGCCGAGGCGCCCAGGCGGCTCCAGGAAAGCTCCCGAAGGCCTCCAAACGGCCCCCAGATGCACAGTGGGCGCCCAAGAGGAGCCCAAGAGGAGCCCAAGGGCCCCCCAAATGGCCCACAACCCAAACACGGTGGCGGGATGGACCGAAGGCCATTACATCCGCCGTGCCCTGTGCTTGATACGGGGGTGCACGGCGTGCCGAATGTTGGAATGGATTCGGTCCCCTTGCACGCTTCCCAATGGCCTTCGGCCCAACCCGCTGGCCACCCCGAAAATTTGTCTACGATAGCCCCAACTTGGCCCCCTATAGTTGGTTAACTTGGCATCCAACGACGGCCAAGATGGCCCCAAGAAAACCCAAGATGGCCGCAAGATGCCTCCAAGAGGGCCCAAGATGCACCCAAGACGGCCTAAGATGGTCTCATGATGGCCCACCCCACATGCCCCCAAGGGCCCTCCAAGATGCCCGTCAGAGGAATATGGAGAGACCCTCATATGCCTCCAAGCAGCTCCTGACTCACAACCCAGACATGGTGACTATGTCCGCGACGCCTTCGGCACCCCAAAAACCTTGTCAAAGTCAGTCCTTTCGCGCAAAGTCTATCGAGTGTGTCAGATCCCCAAACGATTATTCTGAGAAGAATGCGGGGAAGAGAGCAGAAAGGGGACAGAAGGGAGGGAGGGAGTGGTGCGAGGGAGGAGTATGGGTGGTCGGGGTGGGTGGGGGTGGGGGTAGGGAGATCGGGGAGGGGGACCTATGAACATGCGCCATGAATGTACTCGCCACTCGTCGCGAAGTGAACCGACGTGTGATCAGGTTACGTGCAACAAAACACCCCATACGAAATTGCAGGCCGACCCCTTGTGAGGCCTATCGGCTATGGAGCTCAAACATCTTATGGCATACGTGTACACTGTTTTTGTGTGCCCTCGTGCGTTGCCCTTCTGTCGGTCGGTGCCTTTGTTGATACCTTTCTCGCTTGTCGTCCCCTCTCCCGGGTGTTTCCCCCCCCAAGGGACGACCGCACAGCGCGGTTAGGGATTGGAGAACCCTGTGCAGAACGCCAACGCGTGCTGGTATGTGAATGTTGCCTGCCATGGCCACCATGGAAGCCTGACGCACTCACATGCGTTGTTCAAGCTGGCCGCCATGTAGATTGCTTGCGATCGCGCCAACAATAACATCGGACATAGAACATCCGTCGGGACAGAAGACGCGGATGAGGGAGGACGGGGAAGAGGATGCGGTGGATGAGGACGAGTCCTCGTCTTCCTCCCACTCCTCGCCCTCCAGTTGGCGCGGCGCACCCACACCTGGGCGAGGCCCCTGTGGTACATTCGGCTCACCGAGGCGTTCGCCCCTCTGCCGAACCTGGCGGATCCGGACCCCCCTCCTCGTCTCCTCCTCCGTTATGCTGCTGCTCCCCCACCTCCTGTGCATCCTGCATCTCTCCGTCGCCACTATTAGTTCATGCCTAGCGGGCGCTGGGCAGGTCGCCGCCGGCCGCCCGCGGGCGACATTCCAGGCACGATGGGGTCCGACGACCCAGGGGCGCGGATGGCGGGGTTGCCAGTCGCCAGTCGCCCAGGCGGCCTTCGGGGCGGCGATGGCGACCATCGTCCTCGGCCTGCAGGTAACCACGCCGACGGCTGCGGCAGTTGCGGCCGCTACCCGAGGCGCCGCCCAGGGGGCGGCTGCGGGAGCTGCCTGAGCAACGCTGAGGGCCAACTCGGCAGGGACAGCTGCGCGGAGAAAGAAGTCGAAGTGCTCGATAGGCTGCAGCGGATCTTGGCAGACATGGGCGTGCCGGGGTTCCAGGAGGCGGAGGCAAGCTTCCGCGACGCTAGACGCCCCGACCTCGCGAGCCGCCTCAGTCAGAAGTACACTGGGGTCGCCCACAATGATGTCACGCTGCAAGCGCACATCCTCCGCGGCGCTGGCGGCCAAGGAACACGCCTCGGAAGGGCCAGGTGCCAAAAGGCGGCACGACGAGAACAACGGAGACCAGAAAGGACGACCTCGAGAAGACCGCGTTGAGCATCACCGACCTTTCGCTGGCCGAGGGCGACCAGCAGAGCGGAAAGGGCAACCAGGGCAGTCCCCAGTTCAGCTGCGCCACGGAGGTGAGCAACGGCGATGTGCTGCAGGTCCTGCCGCGGTGGGGGGCCGCACAAACACCCTACCGCGAGGTACAGCAAGCGGAGACCATCGAGGACGACATCGAGAAGACCGCGATGGACCCCGCCGAGGTCAAGGCCATCAGCGCGGCGCAGTACAGCCTCGAGGAGGACGGCGCCGCAACGCAGCACGACGATCCGACGGAGGCTGAGAAACTGGGATATGGGACGCAGGAACGGCATCCTCGTCAGGTAGTCGTCTCCAGAAGACTGTGTGCAGACGACCTGAACGAGCAGAATGGTCCCAGAGAGCATGCAACAGGTTACCCCCTTCCCGAAGCTCGACGACAGCGGCGGTCAAAGTGGTGGAAACCGACGGCACGGAAACGCGGCCAGCTCGTGAAGTACTGCACTGAGGAAGAGACGCACCTGAAGAAAATCAAGGAACATAAGGAGCAATCACCAGAGGGCGAGCCGTGCGCAGAGAATGGCTCGGAGCTTGCGGCGGCTGCGTGCCGCTCTATGGCAGGACAGCGCCAGCTGCGGATCAGCCTCGGCTTGGCGGCTCTCGCAGCGCGGCCAGCGGTGGCAACCAACGGCAACTCCTGGCAATCTCCGACCTAAATGACGCCAAGAAGCCGCAATGGCAGCGGACAGCAGCAACCGTCAGCCTACTGTGCCTGGTGAGCCAACTTGCGAGGTGCGAGGCGGTCGAGCCTTGGGCAACATCTGGTCAGCATGCTCGGGCCCGACGCCAGCCGCCACGCTTGCACTGCAGACGTGAAGGAGAGGTCGCGGGGCGGTCTGCCCACGGCCTCTGAAAGGTCTTTCTTCGCTCTCGTCCTGCTTCTTCTCCTCCTTCTTCTTCCGCTCTTCCCACTGTTCCTCGGCTATCCCTGCACCGAATCGGACCCAAGCTGCGCAACGGGCTGCAAAGATGTCCAACATGTGCGTGACCGTGGCCATGCACCCATGCTTTACGAACATGATCCATGTAAGGACACGAAACTTAATGGTGCGTGAGCCCATCATTCCGCGCGGAGAAGATAAGACATATTGCTCAATGCTGCTGCGCGACGAGCACCGACACGAGCGCCAAGCAACGACCACACGATAGTTCCCCTTTGGAGCCTCGGCCATCGAAACACACAACGTCCTGCCATGCGTTGCGCCATGGGTCGTACCCTCGCCCGCCGAAGACCAAAGAACGTCCTGCCTTCACCTGCTCTGTAGGTCGCATCCTCGGCCGCCGAATCTTTCAGCGTCCTGCCAGAGGTGGCCGTTGAGGCCGCCGAGACTTATCAGAACGGGCTTCAGCGACTGGCTGGACAATAGTATACGCCCTCGGACGCCGAAGCTAACAACCACCTGTCAATGAGTGAGACCTGGCCAATTCAGTCAAATTCAGGATACGCCCGGAAACAAATCTGAATACTACAATACCGAAAATAACAACTACAGGAATCATGCACGTTCGGAGCTCCGCGCGGATTTCTTGTGACTGCGCTGGAACCCCCAATCATCCAAGCAGCACTTCGGCGAAGAACGCAACCACAATCGAGCAAATTTCACGTTGAATAATTTTCGCGCAATTGCAGGTAGGTGGCAAGGATGTCCCCCATTGTTTAACCATCGAAACTGGCCCCAACCGCCACCACCTGGCCGTTCAGCACTGGTTTGGAAAGAAGCCGTCGCCCCACATCCACGGCGATTCTTAGTAGGGACGGGATTTCCACACCTGTCCTGAACGGTCTGGTGGGAGAGTGAGGGGACCGGGCTTTCCGTGCCGATCGGTTCATACTTCGCATCGCGCATGCCACCCCTGATTGGCATGGGGGAGACGTGTCCTGAGGGAAACGTGTTGCGGACCCCGGTGCTTCCCCCCAAACAAGTCGCTGCATCCATAGAAGCTTTGGGACGGGCCCAGGGCCCAGTGAGGAACCCCAGGGGCCCAGGGGGACCAATCAGCAAAACACATTCGAGACCCCCTCTCCCTAAGGACTGATGTGTCATTATCTGGGAGCGCCCCCCCCCGTCTCAATCGGCTAATAAGTAGTCTTCGTCGCGAGTACCCCCTGATGAGAAGGCTGGGATTCGCACACGTCCACCGTCCCAGAAAACAATGTCCCAAGGCCAGAAGAAACAAGATGCGGCGGATGTGGATGCATTCGGGCCGCAGGATGGCCCAAAAATATCAACATCGACTGCATCCCGAGGTCCACGGGAGATGGGTTCCCCAAGCGGTGGACATGTAACTAACAACTCTGGCGTCCGGCTCGGGGACCCCGGTACCGCAGCGGCGGGGCCCGGAACACGATCTCGTCTCTGGGCGAGTAGGACCGCTCCAGATTGCCGCGGATGCAGCCGAGCTGTACGCCGGGGGGGACGCACTTCGAGGAGGGCGAGGATGATTAGGCGGATGGGGAAGGCGAAGAGGGGAGCAGACGTGAGGAGGCATCTCCTGGAAGGTCTTCGTGGGGACGGTTAGGGGCGACTTAGCCCGATTCAGCGGCCAGCAAGCCAGACTATGCCAGGGATTGAGCCGCCTTCGGCGGGATTCGGCCGGATTGAGCTGGCGCCGATGCTAAATTCAACCTCCCTCTCGGTAATCACAGCAAATAAGTGGGAAGGGCCAGGAAAAAAATAATAAAAGGGGAGCGGGGGGAGAGAAGCTGAGGGGGTGAGGAGAAATGGGAAGGAATGGGGACGGTGGGTAGGGCGGAAAATGAAGGGCACAAAAGGGGAGCGGAACGCGGGGGGAAGGGATTGTTGGGAGGACGAATGCGAAAGGGAAGGGGCGACACGAAGGGGGAAGGGAGAGGGAATAATGAGAGGGAAGAGCGGGCGAAGGAGGGGCGAAGGGAAGAGAGGGTTACCTGGATGACCGACCGCCTTCGGACAAGAGGATTTGAGAAAGGGAGGCGAGGAGGAAAGGGAGAGGCGGGGAAGGGGGGCTGGGGCAGGGAAGGGGGGAAGGGGGGGGGAACAGAGGAGAGGGTAGGAGATGAGGAGTAGGGAAGGAGAGGGGGGGAAGGGAGAGAGGAGGAGAGGGGGCAAGCTAGACGTGCTGGCGCCATATATGGCATCCTGTCCTATCCCATTTTCCGCTCATCCCTCCCCCACGTCGCTAACTAAGTTTCGATCCGTCCACTGGGTCGTCCCAGCAGGTCCTGATCCTCAAAATAAAACCATCGCCATCATGCGATGCGCGAGAGGGAAAGAGAGAGAGAGAGAGAGAGAGAGAGAGAGCGAGAAGGACTAGGGTAGAGAGGGCGAACGGGCTCGCAGGCAGTCGAAGCTCCCTCGCCCTGGAGAGAGGAGCACTGGACGATGTCAAGCGTCTACAGATCTAGAGTCACTGGGAATTTGTTCGTGGCAATCGGTAGACATGCACATAAATCACTCAAGGGTAGCATCAACCACGAACACGACCATCGAATGCCTGAACGATGATGACAAATTACTCGAAGCAACAACTTGAAGAAAAACTCCATGGGTCGCACATGAGCGGCACCCGCCGACGCGGCGGTGTTGGTGCCGTGAGGCCACTGCTTGCTGCTGATATCGACCGGCCTGGCCGACTGTGGAGCCCTCCTGTCTTTGGGCTTCCCAGCGCCCGCGGGCCCAACATCGCCACGAGAAAGATCTGGGAACGCTTCAGTTGGAGCGGCTCTGGCCGTCGGCCTCCTGCCTGGCCGTGTCAGAGCGGCGCGTGGCAAGTGGCCGCCAATGCTGACCACTGACGACCATGCGCCTCGTCTTGGCGCTGGGCTCTCTCCGCTCGGGATAACACGGTTCCCGCCCACTGTCTGCCTATTGCATACCACCCGATGTCCGTGAACCACTACTGCCCAAGTACCACCAGCACGGAAGCCGCACACACACACACACACACCGGCAGGCTGACACCAGTCTGTTGTGTAGCTAGTGCGCTGGCCTACAGTACCACCCACTGATGAGGCCTCACGTGCTGACATCGTTTCCTTTGGGCTTCAGATGCCAGGTGATGCTCGGGCACCTGACCATCATGTGCCACCAGCGCCCAGCGTGTCACTTGCTTGTCGAGTACCATCGAGCCGCAGACGCCACCAGTTAATGAGGTACCACCAGTGCCTCGAGTACCGCCCGCATGTCTTTCACGCCTGACCCCAGAAGTCAACACCTTGTGATGCTCAAGTGCGTGCCATCTGAATGGCCATGATGTGCCACCTGCTGCTCGAAAACAAGTGGCTACAATCCATCACCATAAACCTGATCGGACAAGAACGGGAAGCGCCGCTTTCGTCCAATAAGCTTATTGTGCGGAGAACAAAGGAAAGAAAGGCGTGGGCGACGAGGAGGCGATGACGAGGACGACATGGAGAACGCGAGGATAGCGAGGAGGGCATGAGGACAACGAGGAGGAAGAGAAGCAGAAGGGCGAGGACGAAGAGAACGAGGGCGAGTAGGAGGAGGAATGCGGAGGACGATGACGACGACGACGGAGGACAGTGAGAGCAAATGGGAGAAGGACGTTGAATCAGGAGAGGGTCCTGGTGACCCTATCGGGCTACCCTGGGGGCTCTTGGCGCCGCGCGGGGGCGGGCGCTCGTCTCAGGGGGGCCGGGACCGAGCGGGGCCGAACCTTGAACTCCGAAATCAGGGGCGCACCCCCCCGCCTCCCCCCCGGGTGATTACTCGGAGCCCAAACTGAGGCCACTTTGGCCAGCCCCGCTTGGGCGTCAGCCCCCCTCCTGCGCGCGCCCGATCAGAGGCTCGCGACGGGCTGCCGCCGGAGGGCAAAAGTTTGCACCACCGCTCGAAGTCCGAAACTTCGAACTTCGGCGATCTCGATTTCTCGAATTTCGGCGGGCGGTTTGCGGAATTCGGCGGGCGACTCTTCTACTTTTGGCCGCCGGAGGCCCGTTTCGGGCCCCGGGAGCTGCGCAGATCGGCACGTGCCGAAAAACCACGTCGGGAAAAACCGTCGAGGGCCCCAGGCTCCGACGTCGCGTTTCTTGATGTGTCGGAGCTGCTCAGGGCTAGGCGGCGCAAACATCTGTCCATCGACGATAAAGATCGGCGGACAATTCGGCAAATGTTTCGGCAGATACTTCCGGGTGGGTCGACGATGAATTTTCCGGGTGGGTCGACGATGAAAATGACAGCCATGGGGGGCGTAACGCCCAGGAGCGCCGGGGAAGACTGCGTAAAAAACGCCGGAATTCATGACACCACCCTTCTATGTCACGTCTCGTGGCGGGCCGATCTGCGCGGGCGCCGGGGCCCGAAGCGCCCCCCCCCCCCCCCCCCCCCCCCCCCCCCCCCCCCCCCCCGGGACTGACACTTCGAGACTCGCCCGACAGAAATTCGAAACGTATTTTTCAAATTATTGCTTTTTGCTCCCAATCGCTGCGCGCGCGCGCGCGATTTCTCGCGGCTGGTCGGCCCGCGCAGGCCCTGGGCCCTGAGCGGGCCTCCAGGGGCCAGACGGTTGAAGAGACGCTCGTTTTTATTTTTCGCCGAGGCCCGATCCGCGCCACCGTAAACCTCATGCGCCCCATGATTTTTGCGTCCGCAGCCCCGCGCGCCCGCCCACTCTCGCGCCCGCTAGTCTTCCAATTGCGCCCGCAAATGCACCCGCT